TTTATTCATCTCTGAGGCATTATGTGCCTTTAATGGTTAATTTTAGCCTTTTGGTATTCAAAACCTTGATCAAAGTTTAAAGTTCAAAATACAAAACAGAGCATAAATCTATTATGCACTAATTCCCCATTAAAGGTCCAGTAGTTTTTATCACTGTGGTAAAAGTAAATATGTTTAAATATGTCTGAATGAACAAAATAAAGACAATCAGAGTTTTGTTTTTTATACTGCATGAAGTGGGTAATCTTTAAATAATGCATGACTAATTGTGGGTTTAACAAGAGTTTTATTAGGTATTTCTACAAAGTTTGATATCAAATCTTTCCTATATAGCTTACAATTTTTTTTTACGTTTGCAATGTGAATGGATGAAAGTGATTTAAAATAGATATTGAAACAATTTACCTATAGATTAACACAGACATTCTTTGCATGGTTTTTAGGTGAAGTCAGGATTACATACATGTACACATTACTACCACATCCAATGACAGATTTTTCTTTATCCATTATCTTGCTTAATTTATTATAAGAACAGATACATGTATATATCTCCTTTCTACACAGTTAATAAATTATAATCATACATTATAATAAGTAACATTTGAAGCTGGTCAGCCAACAGTTACGTGTACAAGCTTTCACCTGAAGTCAGGTTGCATGAATGCCTGTAAGCTCTTGTAAATTTAATATTTCCAGTCTAGGTCACACTAAGTGGTAAATTCATTAACTGCTTTGCTTGAACCATAGTTTTCTACACTGTCCAGTGTGAGCAAAAATTCAGCTGCTGCCGTCAGATTGTCACAGTGGCCTGACGGACATCATATGATATTACGATTTTTTGGAGAAATAGACGCCGCACGTCATGGCCGTTTGTTATTTTTGACTTAGGCATAAATGCCTGTAAGCAAATATTTTATGGTTTCAGCATACCATTGGGTAAATTTAAACTGCTTTTATTAACACTAAATAGCCTACTGTCAGCAACAAAATCTTACCATGTGACAGTCAGTGTAAACCATAATAATATTGTATTTTCTAACCACGGTCTGTGATATTTGTTGTTAAAAGTCGGTACAAAATTATAAATCATATTTTGAAATTTTCCCTAAAAGAGATGAATACAATTGTATATAGTATTGCCCCTTTTTAAAGCTGGAAAGGTATTGAGTCACAGTTATTTACAAACTATATTGGTATGGTTTACACTAAATACAAGTATAAAATCGAACTGTTTTCCGAAAAATACCCAGTATTCAGCATAATAGCGTTAAATAAAGTAATGTAGCTTAATTTGCAGAAAATCATTAGTGTTCAAAATCCTTATTAAGATGCTGTGCATGGTCAGAATTGAATAATAAACAGTGAGCATAATGTCAATTTCACAAATATTTGTATGCACTCTTATCTACATGTAAGTTAGATAGTATATTTTTTCCCCATCTGTTTTTCTGTTTGTCTGTCTGTCTGTCCTGTCTATAATCTTGAGGATAACATTCATGGTGGCCATTATTTTTGTCTTCATACTTTTAGCTAGAGTCATCATGCTTAGTTTTGTGCTTAGTTTTGAGCTATAGGCCGAACATTATGTTTAAGAGACTTTTAACTTTTCCTTAAAATCCAAGAAACTAGATCAAATTTTTTGATCAATTTACTGTACTACCTCAAAATCTCATCAATGTTTTGCTCCTTTTTAGCGACCCCATCAGTCAGACTGGTTTTAAGGTGAAGATTCTCATGTTGGTTGGATCAATATCTTGTTGCCCATGTTTTAATGTGTCTGTGAGGGAAGACTGGTTGTGTTATATTGTAAATAAAATCAGATTACATGTGACAGATAGTGAGTACTGAATACAGATGACACTATCTCAATCTAAATGTTCCTTCTCGATTTCTTGAACAATTCTAAAGATGATGATTTAATGTAAGTCTATAGGTAGCCTGGGTTCCAGTCTGTCGATTTTTTATGTGCTTCTGTTCGGCAAATCGACAGCCTGGGGAAATACAAATTTTGGTGCAAGCGCCACCTAAGTAGTATTCACCTGAAAATTATGGGTGTGATTAAAAAAATGATAACTCATGCATCTACAAACTACTAGGTCTAAAAATAGAAAAGGATTACCACGAAGTTACCTGAATTTACCTGAATTTACTTAACGAAAGTCATGGAGTCTCGTTTTCATTACACCATTTCCAATTAAAAATCAACAGTTTTGACACTCGTTGACATAGTTTATAGCACGATGAGTGAATTTGATCAACATGTTAGATTAGTCAAAGACAAAGTCCAGTGTGGATGAAGTCTGAGTTCATTAGAGAAAAGTGCTAGGTGCAATTTATAATGGTAAATGGCTTCAAATTTTTATCACTCAGCACCTTTGCCTTAATTTTGATTCAGTCATGTGACATGATGGTCACATGCTAATCTGTCTATTAATAGGATTATCATTAGTAGATAAATAAATGGGAAACACAGCGTTTTATTTATCAAAAACACGAACGTGTATGAAATAGCGAGTATGCTATGAATAAGCAAAAATTATCAACGTGTTAGACCCAGGCTAGTCTAAAGGACTTGTAATATTTTATAGCTGTTGTAATATATGCTGTACTCTTTCTGAGTTTGTCTTAAAGGCCAGTTTTTTGTGCCTGAAATAATGTGCAAAGGAGCAGGTGAGGTTTTCTGCCACCAGTAAAGCTTGGAATTTGTCATGTGACCTAGACTGTGTTGGTTTAATCAATATTTTATTGCTAATATATACATGTAAATATATATAGAGAAACAAATTGATTTCGAAATAACAAATAGCAAAAGGGTTGGGCCCAAGTTCTTACAACATTAGCAATCGGCTCTCCCCTGTAACTGTGTTGCTGCTATGTTAAACTCAACCAAAAAAAAAAAAAAGCTCACACTTAATGCTCTTTCTAGCAAAAGTGTTTTAGTTTTTTCTTAGGAAATGTAATTATTTTTTTTTTTTTTTTTTTTTTTTTTGCAATTTCTTTGCACAAGACTTAGTATTTAATATTACTTGTAAGTAAAAAGTGAAAAAAATTATTTTGCATTATGCATTGGGTCTATAATGTATCAGATAAAGACATGGTAAGTTGTATTTCGTGTAAACATGGTCTAGCATGTGAGATGGTTTTGACCCCTGGTGTTGCTTTAAGTTTGTTACACCCGAGGTTAGCTAAAATCGTCTTTCCGCCATGTAACCTACACTGTTTTGGTGCGCTGTAAAACCAAACAAAACAAAAAGCAAGTTGTTTTAATTGACGGATGTTTATACATGGAAGGGAATGTTTATAAATGCTAAATAGGAAAAAAATTTCAAAAGCATTTTTCATTCAGTTTAATAATTTACATGTCAGCATATATTGTGTAGCTTTTTAAAGATGAATTAGTTAACGAAGAAATTTTCTGTGACTTTATTTCGAACTTTAAAGATGAGTATTTTTAAACCTGAGTCTCGATTTCTTTAACAATAAAAATGGAAAAAATAACTAAATTGAAAACAAAACATGATTTTTTTACTGTCATGAATCTTATGACAGATTTAATGATAAAAATAACAATATTGTCATATTCAGAACAATTTTCAAGGACATTTCCTAGGAAAGCAGGTTTGAATATTGATAGTTTTTCATTGACAGAGGTTAGTATTGTAAAACTAAAGTAATTTACTACGGTTTACTGTTGCCATATATTATTTATAGCAGTGATTTATTTATAGTACTTTTAATTACTAAGAAATGAGGAAACTGATTACCTGGAGAGGAGGAAACTTTGTTATGCATTGTAACAAATCTATGAATTACATTTTCATGCATAATGGACGGTTTTATATGTCATACCTGTTGTATAAATACTAAAGCATTATAATTGCTAAAGATCATAAATGGACTTGGCCGTATATATAATTGCAACAGAACCATTCATCATTTTTAGGAAAAAATTTAAATATATGTATTAACTGAATAATAAGCTAACAGTACAGACTATGATCATACTTTATGGATCTCATTGTGGTGAAGGTACCATTTTCTGCACGGGGAACCGTTGCCCATAAATGACGAGACATTAGAATTGCAGCACCTTTTATCCCTGCGTGATCTGATGTGGTATCTAAATGGGTTCAAATAACTAGAGTCTATGCATGTCTAATAGCTCCAGCAGGTGAAGTGGTTTTGAACCCTGGTGTTGCATTGAAGTTTGTAACAAAAACCTTCTTTCCTGTTACGGCACCATATGACCAAGTTAGTGCGCCGTAAAATCAAACAAAATAGACTGCACAAGTCAAATAGGTAGATTCGATTGCCACTAATAAGGGCAAAAAAATTGGCTGTTACCAACTGTAAACCTGCTTATCAGACGCGATACTTGACAAGTTTCTCTTACTATTAGGTCTTTAGCTCTTCTTACTATCAGAACTATGAACCTCCTGAATTTTGTTAATTTTTTTCTTGTCCCTAAAAAGTAAATAATTACACTGTTTCAAATTTAAAGTTTACATTACACTTACATTTTATGTTAAGCCAAGGTCTGGCTAAAAATTTCTTGAGAGTTTCCTTGAAGTATTGTAAGCTGACAACTTTCACAGCCTATTGTACAGCTCTGAGAACTCATGCAATTAATTCAAGATGCTTTGAGGAGCACATTATTGTCTTTTTGACAGTCATATTTGACTGTCCAATTATTTTCAGAATTTAGACAGAAAATGCCTTTATTTCCTCAGCTCCAAATTGCATTATGAAACCTCCCTGTGCATCGTTTTTCTGAGTAAATTATTTCAGATCACGTCTAAGGCAGAGATATTTCTCATTTTGCTTGATTGAATCTGTTATCTGAAGCAGCCATTACCCTTTCATTATGTACAGTTAGATATATTCTAACGTGTTTCTGTGTTAAGGTTATCAATCCATCTTTAGCATGACTGTATTAATGTGTTACTATATTAAGAAATGTTATGTAATTTAAGTTGACTCAATGTTTCTATTTTTAGAAGTGATGCAATACTACCTGACAAGATGATGATACAAAAACCAGGTCAATTTTAACAGATTAGGGGCCAGGGCCCCAAACAGCCATCCTCGTTAACTATGGACAAAAAGGGGAAACATGTCAGCATTCGGGTCATCTTCTTAGATGATCAGGTGCACGCCTTTCAAATACATGTAAGTATATATTTATAAACGTTAATATAGGGTGTAAACTTTCCATCAGCAGCAATCAATTAAAAGTGTGGCTGTCCTAATAAGCTTTTTTGTATTGAAGAAAAAGTCCAGCTTTTATGATTGCCGCACTGTCATTGTGGTCATTGTCATGTAAAAACTTCAATGTTAGATATCAACATGAAACTTGGGATACATCATTACAAAAAAAGGCAATATTCTGAAAGTAAAATATTTTTGAGTTATGACCCTTTTGTCACTTCTTAATAAAGCTTTTAACAGTACAAGTGTTAACAGCACATGCCCTACCCATTCTGAAGATTAATTTACCTGCAATCTATGGTCTTATAGTAATATGGAAACTGTGATTCAAGTTGTAATTAAGTCAGGTCCTAATGTAAAATGACTACAGAGCTTTAAGCCAGGCTTTTAACTTGCTCTGTTTATTGTTTAGAATCTGTTTGATAATAGAGTGACATTTATTTGGAAAGCTTTTATACCAGAAATAAAGCTAATTGTTAAACTGGATATAATTTAAGAAGTTTCTGGCATAGTGGCAGAAATCAATAGATTGTCAATGTCTGGGCTACTGTTTGAGTTGGCTACGAATTGATAAGGAAAAAAATATCTTTAAAAAAAAGGGAAAAAAAAGATGACCAGACACTTGGAAGGATCAAATGAAATTGGTCATGTCTTGTCTCCAGATGAGATAAGACGTTGGCATTGTCTATTCAGAGTAATAAATTGTCTTTGTCACCATGTAAAAAACCACAACAATCTGCATAAATCTTTATAGCCAGGTTTGAAAATAATGATTTTCAAAGTTTAACCCTCTTCCTTCTGAGTTTACATAATGTTTGCTTTCACTTTAAAACAGTTCATATTATAAAGCAGTTAAAGAGATTTTAGCATGAAAGAGTCATAAAATTAATCAAAAATTGATTTGTCCTTCACCACCAGATTATAACAAGGCCAGGCGGCATATAGATGCAGCCTGACTAAGCTCTACAATGTTGGTGGCTTGATTTTTAGCTTGTCTTTTTCAAAGAAAAGGGAGAGCTTTTGTTCTCATCTCGGCAGTTGTCTTCATTGTTGCTGTCACACTGTGGTTAAGATTTTGCATGCAAGTTGGTATCTCCAAAACTACTGAAGGGAATGGGTTGAAACTTCACATGCTTATTTGAGAGCATTGTTAGGGATAACTATCCAAGGTCTACAATTCTAACATGGACTTTGACAGAATTATGGCCCCTTTTGAAATTTGAAAATCAACATTATCAAGACTCCTGTTTTACTATCAAAAGCTCTGGGAATTGTGGAGCATGTTGTCCTACTGCATGACATCTCTTGTTTTGTATTTTGATATTGAAATCCCTTTGAATTGGAAGTAGATAATATAAAACTGATCAAATCCATTAAATAGATTTAGCTTGGTTAAGGTAACAAGTCAAGTTGGATGCCTGGAAGTTGAGACTTACAATTGGCTGTATATACTATGTGGTATGCTACTATTCGAACGTGTCTTACAGAGAACAATTAGCGTATATATTGAGACATACGCATAGGAATACTAGTAGCCCGGAACGCCGTATTATCGGCGTAATAAGTTTCCACTATGTACGCGTTATTTTTCAGTGCCGGATTAAATAATTTATATTTTGCGTGAACAAGCAGACACCTTTTCTACAAATTTTCCGTAAGAAATTCAGTTTATGCTTAACTGGGTCAAAGATGTTTAGTTTCAATACGCATGACCGCATACACAACTTCCTAAAGGGAGAAAACTCTATTATCGACGTATTCAGCATTGATCAACTATGGCAAGCCGTTGTTGTAAAAAAAATGACTGAAAACTTGTCTTACCTTATAGTTTGGCTAACCACCGTCAAATAATTATCTTTCTGTACTTTACACACATATTATGGTTGATTTATAAAGTTTCAATTGAAGAGTATGATTCAACAAGTTCATGGTTTTCAAAATAAAATGTCACCAAACAATGTCAAAGTGTTATTTCAAAACAATTAACTGGATATTTATAAAGTCAACATGGAACTGGAAACAGTTCAACAGTCTTAAAACAGTTTTTTTTACAGTTTTAAATGTATTTATTGGCAATGTGGACATAGAAATTCACTATGACGCCGCACAACCTGAGAGAAGAATAACAGAGTAAAAAAACTTACCTAAAAATGCATATGTACAACTTGCTCTGCTCAGGATGGTAAATAATGTAAGTGTAATTATTATGTAAACGGCCTTCCATAGAAAAAAAAAGTGACGTCATCAGTGTACATTGAAAAGTGATAGAAGACGGATGTTATTTGTTGTGGATAAAGCTTTGAAAAAAGGAATAAGTTGAGGTATAAGCACATTAATTATTAGGATTTTATAGATTTTTATTAATAATGAAAAATTTTATCTGAATTTGTGACATTTTCTACGAAAATTTAGGGATTTGATGGAGCGTTAACTTCTTTGTTATTGTTTACTCACGTGGGAGGGTGGTAGGCGGTGCTATTTATGTAAATTACCGTATTTTCGGAATACGTCGATAATAGAGGTGCGCCGATAATACCGAGTTGGAGTATAACATTTAAGGTGTCTAAATATTAGTTTACACAGAATTTATTTTTAAGTAAGATTGTGTAAGAAGCTATAAAGACATACCCAAGAACAAGCCAGTACTAAGCAATTTTTTTCTTACTCAAGGAGACAATGGCTTGCCATTGCTAAGGTTTGAACCCACATGATTGCTATTGTATTATCTTTAATTGTATGTCCAACGCTGAACCAATCAACTATGCTGCTACAAATTAAAATATTGCCAAAGAGCAGTGCTGACACATCTGCAGGTGTGTGCATACAGTAGTGATAATGGAATTTTACACATTTCTTGATGTCCCTTTTAAAGCCACAGATGGTTCCATGTTAATGGCATTTTGTATGACCTTATTGAGAAAACTTAGAACTGGAATTGAATGTAAACAAAAGGAAAATTAGTCTGGGGATTCAGGAATCTGGAATTTTGGATCTCATTTATAACAGAAGTCTTACATTCTCAAAACTAATCTCCTATGTTCTGGAAATGAATAGGAAAAAAATAAAACAAGTATAATAGCCTACGAACAAATTCCATAATAGTTTAATTTTCAGGAGGATGCCTCTAGATTTATGTTCAAATAACTAGAACATTGGAAAAATCCATACTAATTTTCCATACATCCTTAAATAACATTGCAAAAGAAAATGACGAAATAAATTCTATTTTAGTAGGTCACAGTGAATATTTCTTTTTTCTTCCAGCAACAGCAGCTGTAGATATTTAATTGAGAAAATTTAGCCAGAAATTATTCTCATGTATGTTATATTATAACATATTATAAGTTATGATAGTACCTTAGTATCATACACAAACCTCAGTAAATCATACAGGCAAATCTTATTACCTTATGAAGCCAAGTCTATGTGAAACATATTAAAACAAACCCCAGAACCTTATACAGACAAGCATCAGTGGCTTACACAGGCAGGCATCAGTATCTCATACAGACAAGTCTTATATCTCATACAGACAAGTCTTATATCTCATACAGACAAGGCTCACTACCTAATATAGACAATCCACAGTACCTCATACAGACAAGGCTCATTACCTAATATAGACAATCTACAGTATCTCATACAGACAAGGCTCAGTACCTAATATAGACAATCTACAGTATCTCATACAGACAAGGCTCAGTACCTAATATAGACAATCTACAGAACCTCATACAGACAAGGCTCAGTACCAGATATAGGCAATCTACAGTAAGTATCTCATACAGACAAGGCTCAGTACCTAATATAGACAATCTACAGTATCTCATACAGACAAGGCTCAGTACCTCATACAGACAATCCACAGTACCTCATACAGACAAGCCTCAGTATCTCATACAGACAATCTACAATATCTCATACAGACAGTCCTCAGTATCTCATATAGACAATCTACAGTACCTCATATAGACAAGTCTCAGTACCTCATACAGACAATCCACAGTACCTCATATAGACAATCCACAGTACCTCATACAGACAAGCCTCAGTACCTCATATAGACAATCTACAGTACCTCACACAGATGAGCCACAGTGACAGTACTTCATACAGGCAAGTCTCAGTTTCTCATACAGGCAAACCTAAGTATCTCATAGGCAAGACACAGTGAGTACATTATACCGACCAGCCACAGTACCTCATACAAACAAGCTTTAGTACAGGCAAACCTCTTTACCTCATACAGGCAAGCCATTGTACCTCATAGAAGCACACCTCATTTTAGTGGCTAAGGGAAAAATATTTCCTGTGTGAGGCTTGTTGTCTAGTACTAGCAAATTATTTCTGCAGACTGATTAAAGAATCAAAAGAATAGGGAAAAAGAAATAAAAACTGAAAAGATTTACTGTGATAATCAGGGTATAGATTCTTCTCTTGCCATTGACCTGGGGAAATGTTATTTTATAACCATGAATGTCGGATATATCCACATGTGATGCCGTATTAGAGTATAGGATAACTTTAATTAACCTATATTGAACAGTAGCGTGTAGTGCTTCTCTGACAGTTTCTAGCCGAGACGGCAAATTGTTTCCAATCATGAGAGATTTCCTCTTGAACAAATATGGCAGAACAATTTGTTAAGTTGATTGGCAAGCAAACAACATCTTTACTCCATGTAAACATCTATATATTTAGTCAACAGTTTTGGTTCCCAATAATCAGTGGTATCTCAACAAGATGTCACATTTTTCTTTTAATTATTTTTCTGAAGTCGAGTCTATAGTGTTGACTTAATTAGATGCTTCATTGATAGCCCAGATAAGTTATGTAATATACCTGTAAGATGATCTTCCATGGGCTCTGATGGAAGAGCAAGACCCTAAAAAATTTTATGCCCTTTTGTAGTTTTGAATTTACTTGGCCGATTACATACCATGAAGATATGAAGATCACTG